CATGTGCTCTTAGTGACTTATGAATAGTTTTATGACTCATAGAAATGGTTAAGAATTATAAATCTAAAATGAATTTCATGTTTGACAAAAGGTATTGACCATAGTCAATTCGTCTAAGGGTATAAAAGGCCTATTAGGTGTAAGAGAGTTTTTCGAGTAAAGACCAATATAAAAGGAAAAGTGTTACCTATAAAGTTTAATTGGTAGAGAGATTACCTTTAAAGATAAGTAATAATCTTTAACGAAACCTTCTCTAGTCAATAAGTTTAAATTAATTTAGATTTACTTACTTTCTTTAACTATGACTTATAGCATGGCAAATAGATATTAAAATCACTTTCCTTGAATGGAAATGATAAATGATTGTGTATGTAACATAGGTTAAAGTTTTCTATATCTTGTGTGCCATTAAAGCAAGTTTCCAAGAGTTGTATCATCCGTTTTAATGAGATAATCAAAGAATTTGATTTTATCAAATTTGAGAATAGGCCTTATACTTATATGCAATTTAGTGGGAGGTATCATAATTTCATCATTATATATGTGGTCAACATATTATACTTGGAAATACCTATGCTCCAAAACTATAGGTATAGTTGATTAAGATTTTCTCCATGGTGTTAAGGAGAAATAGTTTTCTTTTTAGGAGTAAAGATCTATAGTGATAGATCATGATTGCTTGGCCTTTTGTAGTACATATATAAGATGCTAAAGACGTTTAGCATGAAGTGATCTAAGAAGAGATGTATCTATATCATACAACGTAATCCTTTCAATGCACAAAGCTTATTGTGTTCTTTGGTCCATGAAGAATTAAGATTGGTAATTTGAGAATATACTTATAAATAATCTTACAAAGATGATTTGCAAGTTTTTTTTAGTACAATAAGCTCTACATCTATTACATCTTACTCTATTTCCTATATCTATCAGCACTATATCCTCTAAAGCCTCTATCTCTATAGTAACTAAGTACTCAGTTAATGTCTAACGTTTCCGTAAAAAAAAAAAAGTACTCAGTTAATGGCTCATATATATATAACACCTATCTAGCTCATCAAACACTTGTATTCAAGTCCCCATTCGAGCAGTAGTTCCAGATTTTCATTTGTTCTTGGAGCACTCTCCCACGATACACACGTTGATTGGACACAATTTACAATTGCTGCAACAAGTTGAACTTTGGTTTTGCTGATTTGCTTAAAGACCCTGCTATTCCTCTCCTGCCATAAGTGCCAAACAATCACAGAGAGAACCAGCCTTCTAAGTTTAGTTGCAAAGGATTCACCCTTCAAGAAAACACTGCACCATTGCGCCTCCATCTGCCAACACATATCTCCTCTATATACCAAACACATTTTTTTGTACTTTTTGCCAAACTGACTTAGCAAAAGCACACTCAAAAAATAAGTGGTCTATTGACTCAATCCCTCTACAAAGTACACATGTTGGATCAACATTCTGCATTCCCCATTTTCTCAGTCTATCTTTTGTCATCAGCTTTCCTTGTACAACCAACCATAAAGTAAAAGCAAGCTTCGGAATGCAACCCTTCCCCCACACCATTTTATACCACTTTACAGTTTCACCACTAGGAAATATCCTCCTCATTGCAAATTTGATAGAGAACATGCCTGTTGATGATCCTAGCCACCTCACATGGTCCTCTCTATGTGTGTTTTGCAATAGAGATGTAAGAGTTGCCTTCTTGAAATCTTGAACAAGAGAGTTAAGTCTTCTTTCCCAAGGCCATTTCCAGCACTTGTTGAGAATAAAATCAGCCACCTTAGATCTTGTATTTAGTCCCAAGTTCTTGAGCAAGGATATGGGGTATATCTTGTAGAGTGGTCCAACGGATGCCAAAAATCATACCAAAATGATGTTTAGCCTCCATTGCCTATATAAGTACATATAAATGATTGAGCTAGAGCCTTGCACTACATTATTTTTCTCCAAATCCAAGAATAGCCATCAGTTTTAATAACCTCCCAAAAACTTCTCCCCTTCAGTATTACAGAATGTATACACCTCACCCATAAATTGTCTTTTTTACTAAAAATGTTCCATACTAACTTTAAGATAATGCACACATTCCACTGTGTAGTGTTTTTTATTCCCAAACCACCTTTTCTCTTGGGCTTACAAACATCACTCCATTTCACCTTAACTGCATACTTTCTTTTTAAGTCACCTGACCATAAAAAAGAAGCAACATTCCATCAATCTTATGAATAACATCTTTAGGAAGCATAAAAACATTAAACCAGTACAAGTATATTCCACTTAGTACTAATTGGATGAGCTGCAATCTACCACCATAGCTTAACTTCTTTGCTGCCCAACTCTCAATCTTACTTTTAATCTTGTTAAAGATTTGTTGACAATCTTTGAAGCTGAGCTTCGTTGATATCAGCAGTACTCCAAGATACCTTACTAGCAGATTCCCTCTAGGCATTTCCACCAGACTGCACAGTTCCTGAGCTTGTGCGTCAGTTACACAAGACAAATAGACATCACATTTTTGATAATTTAGCTTGAGGCTAGACATTAGTCCAAACTCTACTAAGACTTCTTCAAAAACTGAAAAGATTGGATATTAGCAGTAGAGAGCAAGAATAAATCATCAGCAAACATCATATGGGATATCTCGAAGTCCCTGCATGCTGGATCGAAATCAAACTCCCTTTTACCAATATACCATTTTAAGAGACCAGTAAAAACTTCCATAGCCAGGAGGAATAAGGGGAAAGAGGGTCCCCTTGAGATCCATTAAGATTGACAGAAAACATAGCAGTAGTCATACTATTTGCAACCCACTTTATAGTAGTAAACTGGAAAGACCAATCAACTGTGTCATATGTTTTCATAAGGTCCACTTTAATGGCAACTCTTGCTTTACCATGCTTACAATGATACCCTCTCACCACTTCATGCATCATGAGAACACTATCCGTAATCTGCCTGCCTTGGACAAAAGCATTTTGATTGTTGGAAATGAGATTAGGAAGTACCTTCTTTAATCTGTTGGCCAAGATTTTAGGGTAGCATTTGTAAAAGAAATTGCAACAAGAGATGGCTCTGAATTCCTTCATCTTAGAGGCATTCTTGATTTTGGGAATCAATGAGATTGTCGTACTATTCAGAGATTGGTACATGTATTGTTCCTTAAAATAGTGCTTCAAAGATGCTATAACATCAGCCCTCACAACATTCCAACTTCCTGCAAAGAATTTGCCAGTAAATCCATCTAGCCCTGGTGCTTTCACTTTCATCATGTTAAACACTATATTTGTGATTTCCTCCTCAGAAACGGGTGATGTTAAAAGCTCCTTTTGTACTCTCTACTTGAGAGCTTTCTCTCCATTGGGTGGGAGCTGGGAACCAGGAAAAATCAAATTTCACAGACTCAAAATTCAAAATCCACAACTCTTCTAAACAACCAAAATAGCAAGACCAAAATTATGCAATAGATTCATAATAGAATATACAAACTCAGATGCGAAGACAAAATGTCTCGGAGTGCTGGAGCAGAGAATACAAGGAAGGACTCATTGGCACACCACTGTGATTAATAGCTCGCATTTATGAAGCTTCAAAATGCAAGACTACGAACACAAATGGGAGCAAAGTCTAGTCGGAAAAAGGAAACTATGCAATTAATGCTCATGGAAACGCTGGAGGAAACGAGAATCCAAGTAATTACAGCTTATATATCCTTCCACTAGGCCTTAACCTTCTCATGCATATCATAGATTTGGTCTGCATACTGCCTACCTGGTAGTGTATTTACTTAGAAAAGATAGTAGTCTAGTTCCTTTTCTTCTCTGATTTTTCAGGTTCTGTTCATTGTTAGTCTATAATTTAACGAATCCCTCTTAGATCTCATCGACCCTATGGTGGATGAACTAGAGGAAGTGTCGAAAAATTTTGCTCTGTCAAATTTAGAGCAGAACGGTGCGTGGATAGAACTGGATGATGTAGATCCAGGGATCTCTGAGTGCTTGAACAGTATCATTGGAAAGATAAGAGGAGAGAAAGTGGCTAACTTTACTGGGGTAAAGAATTTTGTCACAGCAGCTTGGGGGTACCCCAAAGACTTCACAATAGCTGAGCTGGGGCCTAATCTCTTCTAGTTCTTTATTCCTGACCAGGAGACTAGAGTAAGAATCCTTAATGATGGACCATGGTTGATTGACAACCAAATACTGGTTCTTAACCGTTGGGAGGAAGGAATTGAGGAAAATACAGAGGCCTTTAAATTTGCCCTCTTTGGGTACAAGTATGGAATCTCCCAATTCACTGGATAACAAAGGAAGTAGGAAAGAAAATAGGTATGGTCTTCAAGGAGGTCAAGGAAGTATTAATTCCCCATTCAGGGAGTAAGGAAGGAAACACCTAAAGTTGTTAGTTTGTGCAGATATGACCCAGCCTTTATTAAGAGGAACTACAGTTAAGATGAATAGAATATTAAAATGGGTAAGCTTCAGATATGAAAGAGTCCTAGACTTCTGCTATAGATGCGGCATAATTGGGCACAGTGAAAAGAAATGCAAGAACAATGTAACCATCAGTAAAGGTCAAAAAGAAAATCAGTATGGCCCCTGGTTGAGAGCTCAATCTGGAAAAGGATCTCCTCAAAAAGATGGTAAATCTAACACGTACATTCCTGACAGACAAGTATGGAGGTTTCAGAATAGGGAATGGAGCAGGAAAGGACCAGGGAAACCAGTAGAGAAAGATAAAAACCCTCCCAGGACTGAACATTGTGATGAACTGCTTAAGGTCACAAGTGATGAATCTTTGTTGAATACTCAAAAAGATCTACCTATAGTGAGAATTCAAGAAATAGGACAGAGAAAAGGGGCACACTAGAAGTACAGTTGGTGGTAGGGAATGAGAAAGCATAAAAGGAAAGGAATGTGGTTAAATAGTTGACTGGACTTGAGGAGAGAGGGATGGAGGAGGCAATAACCGAGGTGTTACTACTAGATCAAGGAAACATGGGGAATAGGAACCAAAGAAATAAGAAAGAAGAAGGTATGACTATGAATACAGATATGCAGCTGGATGGTGAGGACATGGATCAGATCCAAGAGACAAGAACAAAATGAGATCCAAAATCTGGGATTTAGGATTGGCAAGAATACCAAAAGAAAGTTACTCATTCTAGATGAGGAGATGCCAGACATGGAGTCAACAAATCAAACAATCAAAAGGAACAGAACTAGTAAAATGGAAAAGAGCATAGATCATAACATAAGGGAGGAAGAGACCAACCCAAACTGGTCTCCAAATCAATCATGAGGGCTCTGGTGTGGAACTGTCAAGGTGCTCCACACTTGGCGGTGTGGAGCACCTTGACAGTTCCCCACTTGAAGGAGGAAAATAAACTCCTCTCCCTAAGTATAATATTTCTTAGTGAAACAAAAAATAGGAAAAATTTCATGGAAAAAGTTAAAAAAATTTTGAACTTTGAGAATATCTTTGTTGTTGAAGCCATGAATAGATTAGGTGGAATAGCTCTTTTGTGGACCAATGAGGTCAAAATTACAAAAGTACAAGGGACAACATTCATGATTGAGGCCAGAATTGTTGATGAGGAGAAACAGGAGAGGTGGTGGTTCATTGGCATATATGCTAGTTGTGATTATCAAATAAGAAGAAGACAGTGAGAAGTAATAAACAGAAGAAAAGCAGGCTGGGGGAAAAATGGATAATCATGGGAGACTTCAATGATATAATCTCAAATGATGAGAAATGGGGTGGAAGAAATAGAGATGACAGAAGTTTCCAAGATTTTAGGAAGTTCATCAATGATAATTAGCTGGAGGACATTGGTTTTAAGGGGAAGCCATGGACATGGAGCAATAATTGGTATGGGGATGGGGAAGTAAATGAAAGAATTGATAGGGGACTATGCACTTTGGAGTAGTCACAATGCTTTAATGAAGCCAAATGTAGACACATTGAATCCCATGCCTCAGACCACTGTATGCTGATACTGGAAACTTAGAAGGAAGGTAGGAAAAGGAAAAAAAAAGGTTTCAATTTGATAAAATGTGGCTACAACATAATGAGGTTGAAAGGGTGGTAAAGGAGGCATGGAACACCACCTACGAAGGAACAAGATGGTTTAAAGTGACTCAGAAGATAAAAAAATTGTAGGATTGAGTTACTGAAATAGAGCATTAGCAAGAAAGGGAATTCACTTGAAAGGATCAAATGGTGCAAACAACAGCTTGAAGACACAAAGGCATCAAATGCAGAAAACAAAAGGCAACAAATGCAGGAGGTCAAGAGACAACTGAAAATGGCCTATAAGGATGAAGAAGCTTAATGAGGTTGAAGGGGTGGTAAAGGAGGCATGGAACACCACCTGCGAAGGAACAAGATGGTTTAAAGTGACTCAGAAGATAAAAAAAATTGCAGGATTGAGTTACTGAAATAGAGCAGTAGCAAGAAAGGGAATTCCCTTGAAAGATCAAATGGTGCAAACAACAGCTTGAAGACATAAAGGCATCAAATGTAGAAAACAAAAGGCAACAAATGCAGGAGGTCAAGAGACAACTGAAAATGGCCTATAAGGATGAAGAAGCTTACTAGAATTAGAAATCAAGACTAAGATGGCTAAATGAGGGGGATAAGAATACTTAGTTTTTCCATGCAACAGTTAAAGGAAGAAGGAAGAGAAACAGGTTGCAGAAATTGAGGAAAGCTAATGGTGAATGGACTGTGAATGAAGATGAGGTGGAGGAGAAATAGCTACTTATTATAAGCAGCTGTTTAAGTCATTAGCTACTGGGGATCTGGAGAAGATCTTAGATAGGATTCCTGTCACTATAACTGAACAAATGAATAAGGAATTGAGTAAAAAAGTGGAAGAAAAAGAAATTAAGACTGCTTTCTTCTCTATGGATCCTAATAAAGCTCTTGGAAGTGATGACATGTCCCCTTTGTTTTTCCAAAGATTCTGGAGTATTATTAAACAGGATCTAGTAAATGCAATCCAAGGTTTCTTTTATCACAGTGTCATCCTTAAAGCTATAAACCATACAGTCATCTCCTTGATCCCAAAAATAGATTGGCCCATAGAGGTTAATCAGTATAGACCTATCAGCCTATGCCAAGTGGTATATAAAGCCAAAGCCAAAATTCTTGTCAGTAGAATGCAACCTTTCCTCAGTAGGTGCATTAGCAAAAATCGGTCTGCATTTGTTTCAGGTAGGCAAATATTAGATAATGTCATTTTATCTCATGAATTACTGCACTTTCTCAAAAACAAAAGACATGGTAGAGAAGGATATATGGCTGTGAAACTGAATATGTCCAAAGCCTATGACAGGGTGGAATGGAAATGTTTGAAGGCTATTATGGAGAAAATGGGATTCTGTTCTACTTGGATAAGCTGGATTTCATCCTGCATCAGCTCAGTAACCTACTCTTTCAAGGTAAATGGGGAACACAACGAGTACATCACCCCCTCCAGAGGTGTAAGACAAGGAGATCCTCTATCTCCTTACTTATTTTTGCTGTGTCCAGAGGGGTTTTCAAATCTCTTACAAAAAGCAAAGCATGAAAAGGAGTTGACGGCGGTAAAAGTTAGTAGAAAAGTACCTACAATTACCCACTTGTTCTTTACAGACGACTCACTGGTGTTCTGCAAAGCAAAAGTTCAAGAAGCTGGGAAACTAATGAAAGTCCTCAAGGTGTATGAGGAGGCAATGGGACAGCTCATCAACTTGGAAAAATCCTCAGTATTCTTTAGTAAGAACACAGACCAAATAGTGAGGAATGAATTCTGTCAAGCTGTGAGGTCAATTCAACAGGTAGGACAAGGGAAATATTTGGGATTGCCTATGATTATCACAAGGTCTAAAAAGCAAGTTTTTGGATTCATAAAGAATTCCATTGACAAAAAACTACAAGATTGGAAAAACAAACTACTGAGCCAGGCAAGGAATGAGATAATGCTTAAAGCAGTGGCATTGGCAATGCTTACTTACACCATGTCTTGCTTCAGGTTGCACACCCAATTATGCAGAGAAATCAATTCAAAAATGGCAGACTATTGGTGGAGAGACACAGAAGGGAAGAACAAGATACACTGGATCAGCTGGAAGAAGATAACACAGACTAGGGAAGCAGGGGGCATGGGATTCAAAGATATGCAAATCTCCAATAAAACCTTATTGGCTAAGCAAGTATGAAAGTTAATTACACAACCAAACTTGCTAGTCAGAAAAGTTTTAAAGCAGAAATACTATCCCAAACAGTTACTCTTCAACTGCAAAGTGCCCAAAAATGCCTTCTGGATTTGGAAAAGCATATCAGCAGTGAGAAAGGAACTGCAACAAGGAACTACAAGGAAAATTGGTAATGGTAGAGACACGAGAATTTGGGAAGTCAACTGGATACCAGATAGGCCACATGGGAAACCAACTTTAGCTAAGCCACAGGGATGTCAGCTAAATCTTTTCTCAAATCTGATAAGTAATAACAAATGGAATAGAGTTCTTGTCCTCAAAACTTGCAGTTCACAAGATGCAGAGAGAATCCTGAGTATACCAATAAGTGTTACAGGTAAAGAAGACAGCTATTATTGGGTGCACTCTCAGAATGGTCAATACATGGTCCAGTCTGGCTACAAGACATGGATAAAGGAAAAGAACCAGGTGAACTCAGCGGTAAGGGAGAAGGCTGGAAGAAGCTATGAAGGTACCATCAGCAAGGTCTGGAAATCACTGTGGAAGCAGAACGTGAGTCAAAAACTGAAGGTATTCATGTGGAAAAGCTTACACGGAGCCCTTCCAGTAAGGGAACTAATTTACAGAAGAACAAAGCAAGGAAATCCTATGCGTGCAGGATGTGGAGAAAGAGAAGAAACATTAGAACATATGATGCTCCAATGTAAGAAAGCAAAGGAAATATGGAAAATGACGCCAGTTCAGTGGGATGGCCTGGAACACCTTTATGATTGTTTTCTAAAATGGTGGATAACAATTATGGAAGCTCAACAAAGCAGAGATGATGCAAAACAGGTGAATGCAACCATCAACATACTCTGACAGATATGGAAAGCCAAGAATGATAGAGAGTTTAACCAAAAGGAAAGAGAGCCTCACAAGATAGTTGAGAAGGCTATAAAGGATTGGGTGGAGTTTGAAGAGGCTAACAAAGGAAAGGAACCAAGGAAGATCACTCAGGAAACAGAAGTACAACATAGGACTAACCAAAATCATAATGAAGGAGTCAGGAAGATGCTACTCAAGATTCATACCCAACAAGACAAACGTCAATCTGTAGTGGGGATAGGCATCACAGCAGCAAACAACCTGGGACAACTACAAGCAGCCTGGGCACTCAGAGAAAGAATGTTAGATGATCCATTACAAGATCAAGCAAAAACTGTGAAACCTGCTCTATTAAAAGCTGCCAACCAAGGCTGGAGACACATCAAAGTAGAGCTAGACAACAGAAGACTGATGGAATACATAATGGAATCAAGACACAACAATTGGCGGGTTGCTACTCTTGTTGAGGACATTTAGTTCTTGTATAATTTGTTTCATCAGTGCTCTCTCTCTTTGGCTAACTCGGGAAAAGTAGGTAATATTAAGCTGAGCATGTATACTATTAACATCTGGTTAGATGAAGAATGGGTTAATCCCACTCTTAGATGCTAATGCATCATTGTCAAGTGTAGGACTGTTGTCCTTTTTGTTTGGACCTTTGTCCAATTACTGTATAGAGTTTACAATGAAATATAAAGCTATCATTTCGACAAAAAAAAAAAAGCTCCTTTTGTTCTTCTGACAGTGATACTGAGATCACTTGCTGGAGTCTAGATTCATACCAACTAGTATCATTCCTCTTAAAGGGATTCTGGTAGAATTCAACTACCATCTTCTTCACCTCCTCATATTCATATACCTGCTCACCCTGGTCATTCATCAAGGAAGGATCCTATTACAAGCTATGTGCCCCTTCATTTCTCTATGAAAAAAGGAAGTATTGTAGTCTCCTATCTTCAGCCATTGAATTCTGGACTTATCTTTATAGAACCTTTCTTCTACAAGTAACAACTCTGTATATTCTTTTGTAACTTCCTTGCAAAGTTGAATAAGCTCCAGGTCACATGGGCTGTGCTGTAAGGTGGACTGGATATTATACAGCTGCTCTTGTTTTGCTTTCACCTTGCTACTAATATCGCCATAATATTCTTTATTCAACAGCTTCAAGCTAGCTTTTACTTCAACTTTTCACACACAACCCTTACAGGATTCCCTTTCACAGTTTCATTGCACCCCTGCTCAACAATTTCTGGATACTTATTATGTTCCATCTAGAAACTATGAAACTTAAAGGGCTTAGGTCCAAAATTGATACTATCAGCAATATTGACATTGGTAGGAGAGTGATATGACACATTAGGTGATAGCAAATCAATTTCTACTGCAGTGAAGTCCTCAAGCCAACCATGATTAACAAGGGCTCTATCAATCTTGCTGTACACAGTCCCTTCTTCCCTATGATTACTCCAAATATAAAACACCCTTTACTGGGATGTTCAACCACATCAATATCCTCAATACATTGATTGAATTCCTCCATAGCTGGATAATCAAACTCATTACTGCCCAATCTTTCATCATTTTTCCTTATGGCATTAAAATCTCCCAAAATAAGCCATGGTGATGAGCCAGCATAACCTCTCAATTCCTTCAGTTGTTCCCATAATTCCCTCATTTCCTCAGATTTATTCTTACCATAGACCACAGTAAGAAAAAAAGAGGATCTCAAGAGGCCAGATTGAACTCTACAAGATATTGTTTGTCTATGAGACACAACATGCTGGCATTGAACTTTATCATTATCCCAACATACCAATATTCTACTAGCTGCAACATTAGTAGAATCATGTAAAAAAGCCCACCCAGGTGCACACTTATTCACTATACTGGTTATATTACATAACTGGACTTTATTCTCAACCACCCCAATGATATCGGCATTAGTAGAGGTTAATAGTTTTTGTATAGCTATTCGTTTAATAGGTCTATTCAGACCTCGTATATTCCAACACAGGACCTTCATTGCTCAAGGAATTTTTCTTAATTCTTCGCTTACTTTGGGGTTAGCACGACTTCCACCTTCAGAGCTACTACCATTCATTTCATCATTAGAACCACAGATAATAGAGAAGAAAAGGTCTTATCCATTGGAAGTACTATTTCAATTTTTTGAATAGGAATATGTGTATCTTCTTTAGGATTGCAAGTAGCCACTTGCTCGTGCATAGTCAATGCTACTTGATCATTATCCATACTGTCCTTCTCCCTAACACTGCTATGGATACTGTTAGCGCTAGCATCAACAATAATTTCTTCCCCATTGCGATTTAATAGACCATTACTAAGACCAGCATCCTTCTGTATATGGTAGTGGACATCACTACTCCCCATGATACACTGACATCCTTCTTTAGCTATGCTAACTATGGAATCGTGCTGTAACTCAGTACCCATTTCACCAGGCACTTCCTTAGGGATCCATTTCTAAGTACTTCTATGACCTAATTTATTGAAACATGCCCAAACCTTTTATATTTACCACAACATGAAGGGATCCATTCATATTCAACAACTTGATTCATAAGATGACCATGCTCATTCAAAAAAGGTATGGTCTCTGGTCTCAACGACTCCACCTCCAACTCCACACATTTCCTTGCAAATGCAACTTGGGTCTACAGTGCAGTATGTTGATCTGTATACAAGGGTTTCCCAACATAACTCACAAGTTTACTTAGAGCCTCCATAGTATAGTAATGCAGCTTTAATCCTGGAAGACGAATCCACACCGAAACACTCTTAAACTCAATATTTTGCATCTCTAGATCTGGACTCCAAAGCCTCAGAAATAGCATCTTATTACCCCAAGGTCAAAGGGACTGATCAACTTACAAGTCTCTAGTATCAGCATCTTCAAAACTAAATACATAGATTCACTTCTTCATCGTTACAACATCAATTTTACCCATATCTCTCCATCGTGAGTTTACCAGCTGTTGAACATTATAAAAGGGGGTAGGGGAACCTAGCATATATCCAACAATAGCATTTTTCCATTTGCAAATACCAGATACAGTATCTTCGGTATTCAATTTCCCAACCAATGCATTAGAATTTAGAGACGCCTTAGGAGGAATAAAGGATAAATGCATACCTCCATGGACATTTTTCGATTTGCCAATTACTTGAGCCCAAGTCAGCTTATCTTCCTTCACCAACTTCCGTGTTCCATTGCTATACCCCTCCTTTAATATCTTTAGTCCTACTAAGCCAGTCCTAGGTAAGGGTGGAAAATTTTCCATTTCCTATTCTTTTCCATTCATATTTCCAGAATCATCCAACCAGAGAACTCGTGTTTTAGTTGAGCTAGTCGTCATTGGATCTCGAGCTAGGAGAAGCTTCAAAACGTGCCAAAGACCCCTCAATGAACAAATTTCGATCGGTGAGATGAAAATGGACCTAAGGACGAACACAATATCCCAAGAATCTATCCCATTGAAGCTTGAAGACCTCAACAATGGCAGATTTGTGAGGTGCACACTTTAGCAGGAGCTCCTTTGTCAGTGAACGTTAGCGGCAGTTATTATAGCTCCTCTGATCCTCAACAACGGCAGATTTGCAAGTTATGCAGTCACTTATAATATTGGTATTATGTGTTGAAAGGGTTTCAAACAAAACACAACTGAAGTTTTTACAATTAAATCTTAACAAGTTGCTATTTGAGAAGTGGCAAAACAAAGCATTTGGATCTGTAAGTTCAATTAGGAACTTGGGTTGGTTCTCTCTATTTTAAATTCTTTATCCTGTATTATGACTATAATGAAAATTTGCCCTGCCAAAAGAATCAAGGTCTCATCGCGGATCCATAGGCTTGTTAAAGTGCTGCCATATGATTTGATGAAATCATTGGTAAGAATAAAATTGAAGATAGAAGGAGTACCTGTGGATAACACCATGGTTGATCCGTTTACTAAATTTTATCTTAAAGGAAACATGATGGTCATATACGCTCATTTGGTATTTGATTTATGAGTTATTGGTTTTAGTGCAAGTGGGAGATTGAAAGTATATATACCCTAAAGCCAATCAACTTTTAGGATTTAATATGCACTTGAACTATTTATATTATAATAAATGGCATCTTTATCATATTAATTGCTTATATTTATATCAATATTTTGAAACTCAAACCATTAATTGAACCAGTAAGGTGTTCGGGTTGAGATTCAACCTATCAAACCTGTTCAACCCTGATTCAATGAATTTTTTAAAAAATGGTTTGTATAAATATGTGCATAAAATAAGACATGCAATGGGCTTTATATGATCAAAGAATTTGGATTTTCACAAATAAATTTTTTAAATTATAAGTTGAAACAAATAAATTTTATCTCAATTTCAATTATATCTATCAAAAAAATCTTATATCGAATCCAAAAATATCACAATATTTTGTAATTATACAAATTCGCATATATGAGATTAGATATTGTGAGTTTAAATTTTAATTCATGTTTTTTGGAATTTAGAGATTACAACTTTTAAAAAAAAATTGGACGTTAAGAAAATAGAAAATAGAGATGCAAACTTGATACAAGGCAAAAAATGAGAAGAAAGTGAGTGGATATGGCATTTAATAATTAGTCTGTAAGGTTAAAGAAAACCTGCTCTTTGTTTTTTAAATTTTCTTTCAATTTAATACCTGAAAACCAAAAAATCGCTGGTTCAATAGTTCAATTCGGTTTGCACAGTTCAAATGGTTCTGATATTTAAGTCCAAAAACCATTCTTCTTTTCCTAATTTTGGTTCCTGCCATTTCCCAAATTTTTTATCAATACAGTACCAACAAAACCAGCAATATGAAGCAACCAAAAAAAAAACCACACATACATTCAATCTAGTTAACTAAAGAAAAAGAAAAACTGGAAAAAGGAAAAGAAATACCTCAATGAAGAGTTTGGTCCCTTGGCCAAAGTTTTTGATGAAATTTGCCAAGGTCCAATAGCCTAACCGATCGCTGCCTCCTTTTTGTTGTGTGCAAGTGTGTTGGGAAAGTATTGGGAGAGAGGAGAGCCGAGAGGGAGTAGTGGTAGTTTTTCTTTGGTTTTGTCTCTTGTCCTTTGAGAGAGAGCCAGAGAGCTTGTCTATTTGGAGCGTGAGTGGAGTCTTTTTTTTGGCTTGTCTGGAGAGAAAAAGAGAGAGCCAAGAGAGACTTGTGAGTTGGAGTTTGTGTGTGTGTGTTTGGTCAAAATGATCGTCTTTTACCTAATAACAAGAAAGGTGCATGGGAAAAATATGATGAACTTTTTTTTAACCAAAATGAGAAGAAATGTTAATGAGAATGGAGTGTAAAAATGAGTAAATAGTGGTTTTGGTAAAACAAAAATAATTAGGATGATTTGGATTTCTTGATTTTCTTTTTTTTATCTTCTTTTTTTTTTCTTTTTGTTTTTTTGTTTTTCTTTTGTTTTTCTTTT